CGCTGCCTCGCGTTGCGCCCATGGTGATTGCGCATCCCTGTACGCGGAGACGGGGCAGCGGTCGGACCTACCGGCGCCTCCCCACCCCGCAGGCGCGGGCAGGAGAGGCGAGGCACCCAGGTTTGTGATTCCTCAACCACCGGGGGCTCTTTTTGTGTCTACCTCTCCCCCTCCCGGGCTTGAAGGCTTCGGATGGCGATGCTTTGCCCTCGCCCAGAGCTTTCCGCTGTTGTATCGCGCTCTGTAGGTCGTGGTGTTTGTATGTATTCGAGGATATCGTTTATTTACGTCCCGCCATGGTATCTGTGTTAGCACGCCTTGTGCGTTGTTCATACGCGTTCGTGTGTGTAAACAGCCGCTGGAACGCAACGAAAAACTGCTCCCGTGCGCCTGAGTGTAAAAATCTGCGTTTGCTGGGAGCAGTTTTTCACGTGATTGAGGGGTGTGTGTGTGTGATTGGGTCTTAAAACGAAATCGTTACAACCAGGTTTCTTTCCTTCTTTTGTTTTCTAATGTTTTAAGAGATAATTGCGTATTACTGACTTCTTAAGATCTTACCATGGGCTCCGTTTTCAAATTGAGCAAATGGTACTCTTTAATCATTTAAACGAGCACCTCCTAGACATGCTATTTCTGTTTTTCGTCTTTATGTATAAACGACCCTTTTTTTTTTTTTTGTGAAGTGGGGTTTCATTCATATGAATATGCTTCTTACCTGAATCATACTTTTCTTCAGTCTCCTCACTTGAATTCTAAATGTTCTGAAGGAGAGGTTTTAAAGAAGCACACAAATAAATGCGAATACAGTTTTCTTCGATTTTAAAACCTAATTTCTTTTGTTCACTTGTGGTTACAGGCTTATCTTTCCTTTGAACACACATTTTTCCATAAATAAGTATGCTACTTGACTGTCTAGTTTCTCTCTTAAAAATGCGTTTCTATGGTAGTAAATTTCTATAAATTATTTAAGGTCACATTGTTCCCCTAATTGTGTTCATCTGCTCCTTTTCTTCTGATTTTGCTTGTTGTCTTGTCTATTAGCTTTTCTTTCTGCTGAAATGTAATTTATTAGGTATCTTTATGTGTTTGTTTATGTATAATATGGATATTTCTCTCTTTCTCCCTAGGTGTTGGTGACTTAAGACTCATTTAGGTATTTAGTTCTCAGGAAACAGAGACATGAGAGGCTTACTGGATTTACTCTATTTTCACTGAAAAGTACAGCTTTGCACTAGTATTTTTTTGCCTCCTTTCCATCCCTCCTCTCCAACAGGAGAGGATAATTTGGGTAATTATATTAGCCCTCACCTACTCCCCCTTTCCTCTATTCCACCCTCAGAAATCTACCCTGGTCCCTGAGGCATCAGCTAGAAATTGCTTGCGTAGTACCAGGAGAACGCTGTCCTCATCACCCCTTGCTTGATTTGGGGGCTTCAGTAGTACATTTCCATCCTTTGGAGTGCAGTGCAGGGAGGTGTCCAGAAGACACTATTGCTACCCTCTTTGGGTAGTAGAGGATCCTAGAAAGAGGGGTACATAGCAAGACGCGTGATCTCACTGAGGGAGCCAGATTGAAGCGGCGCTTACTCGGCACACTAAAAGAAGCACCCATCTTTGGCATCTTTTCATCTTCCAGTCCTTTCTCATCAAATTTCTGGTAAGTCACATCAGTCCATTCATTCAGTGCTTGGTTTCCCTTCCCCCATTCCAGGCACTAGGAGAGAGGCATGCAGAGAGACTGAGAGGAGGGTGGGGGAAGGGAGGAGGGAAAACTAGCTGTGTACATGCAAATCAGAAAAGAGAGGGGTGTATTATACCTCACTGGAGAGGAACCTGGGCAGAGATGGGATAACTGCTGAAGAAACTATGTTTTATTTGCACAGGAGTGCACACAGACAGAAGAGGGGTGAAAAACCTGGAAGCCTACTGTAGGAAAAAAAAAATTGTAAGATCAAAGTAGAAGGAGAGCTGGTGTTGACCACTATCAGCCTTGTGTGGCAGAGAGGGAAGAAAATAATAGATTCACTGAAGATCAGAAACTGGGATGTGTGAATGAGGAATGTTATCACCTACTTACAAGCATGAAGATGAGTAGAGACTGGGGGTGCGGATGTCTGCTTTTGAGAGGCAATTGTGCGGGAAGGATTGCTACTAGTATCTTCAACATTACTCAGTGCAAGGGTGGAAGACAGCAGATGAAAGCCATAGTAGGGAATGCAGTTGCCCATCTGTGGGAGTGTGGGGGGAGAATTGTTTTTGGAAAGAATGGTAGCAATTTCCTGCTTTACTATTATGCAGTCAGTTTAAGACACATTATACTTGAATATATTCCCTTTTTCTTTGACTGTTGCAGTCTCTACAAACCTCACAGGGAAAGGGAAGGGAGTTGAATACCATGCTGCACTTTAAAAAAGGCATGCTGGGATTCACCTGCCTGCAGTGACTTTAAATTCTAGAGTGCATGTACAGAGGGCAGATGATATGCAGCAGCACAGGACAGATTGCACTGCTATGTTATATAAAATATATTTAAATAAAGACTTTTATTTTTCAGAGGGTCTTTGTTCTTACCAGAGGTTCCCAACCAGTTATGGGACAGTTTTATGAAAATTACAACTTTAAAATTTTAGTTTCTGTTAGGAAAGAGATTTTTTTTTTTCTTGAGGTTGTCCCTCATCACCATGAAGTTGCAGTGTCAGGAATAAGTATTGATTTATGTTGAGTTTGATTTATGTTGAGTTTATTTTTCTAAAGCAATTTTAATAAATGGTTCAAGATATCAGTTTTTGTTATCTCTGCATGCCTCACCTTGGATTATACTCATAATTCATGAGATTTTAAGATTTTTCTTTAAGATTTTCTTTAAGATTTTCTTTAGATGATCATCATTCTGGTATCTGTGTGGGGAATACAGAATTAATTGTTCTTTATACTAAGAACAGTGCTGAACTGTTTTCAGATCTGTTCTCCCTACGACACAGGAAAGTGATGTTTCTGGGATGTTTCAGTTACTGCTCTATTCTCCTCACTAAAGTGAGGCAGAGACATTAATTCCTTGACAATGTATGATGGATCATATGCTGGACAGCACTTCATTAACTGTTTAACCAATCTGATCCCTAACATTGCCATTATAACTCAAATCTGCCTTGAGCTATCATCTTTATTGTAACTTATGAGCATGTTACAAATATGCTTAGATCTTCAGTATCTTGAGGTGTGGCCTCCAAAACAGCATTCTAGAAACTGCCATAATAGTAGAGACAATTGGTTGACCGGAAATATATACTCAGTTTTAAAACCTTAGCTAATTTATGATAAAAAGGAAAGCAAAATGCCGTTACCTTTTCCCAACCCCAGTAACAGTGTACTGAATTCAAGGCATATGCATTTTGTTAAGAATGATACATAAGGCTGCAGTTTTTTCATAGTGAGGTAGGTGTTTGGAAATATGTTTTTCTTAGTTCTCCATTTCCCATGGCGATCATGGCTTGCTACCCTTCTAGCTCTTTCCTACTCGCTCCCATGAGATTTTTATTATCATTACCTGAGCTGTAGAGATTAAACATTCCTAGAGGTATGCTAAACCTATGATTAGATTTTACCTCTCTACTAATTACTAAAATCCATGGAGTTATGTTAGCTGCACAGTGCTGTGACTGAAGCTGGTCGTCTGAGCCAAGGACTAAAAGAGGTGATCCTGGGAGGGGCTTGTTTAGGTAACTTGTTTCTCAGATCTCACTACAGGCAATAGGAGTGTGCTGCAATATCATGTCAAAAGTCAAACAGTTAAGATGGCTAGATCACATTGATTCCTAATGCTGCAAAACATCTGGAATATCATTTATCATTCCCATAGGGAAGAGACAGCCTAGTCTTTTCAATATACAAATTCATTGGGCAGTTGCATTTTGAATGGAAAGGATATGGATCTTTTAATGAATTAGATACATTTCAAGTCACGCATTTGTCAATAATACATAAATGGATTTGTATCTCATAATTGTTTTCTTTTTTCAGCTTAGGGGAAAATACATTATGATAAGGAAAGAAAGAGACTAATCCATCTTTCTCCCTGCTGTTGGGTGTTGTAGACAGAACAAGGAATAAATGGACAATGGACACCAGTCTCCCGTTCTTGGAGTCAAGTCTCTAAAACTCTCTCCATAGTGGAGAGAAGACCTTGTTTAAGGAAGTGGTCTTCAGATTTTGAGAACTGTCTAGACAGCTGATCGGATTGGCTGAATTCCCTGTTATATCCGTAAAATACATTCTGATACGATTGAAAGTAGAACAGTAGCATAGTGAATACTCTTGTTAGAACAGCTGCAAGAGGTGTATTGCAGCTTCAGGGCAGGCAGGAGGAAATACAAATGTATATAATGGGAGAGAGGAAGAAACTGCTGTGTGAATGCTGAAATGAAACCAGGCTTAGAAAGTGCAGTAATGCTACATTTTTAAAATTGAGGGTTCTATTTTTCTCTATAAATTGCTGATAAATTGTTCCACACAGCATCTTTCTGAAGCAGATGCAGCAATGACTGCTTGGCTAGTCTGACACAGTTCGACTTTTATTGTAGAGCTTTTGCTTTGACTCCACCCTTTTACATCTTCTGGTCCGTTTTATGCAGTTAAGTGTCTTTCCTTCTATTTTTTTTTCTTTTTTGATTTCATAAGTCCTTGGCTTTTGAAAATACTGTACTCAAACTGATCGTAGTAGCTTTGAGTGAAAACTTGATTTTTAACTGCTTTCATTTTGAAGACATGTAATCATCTACATAGACACTTACTTCCCAGTCTATGTGAGCATCTGTTACAAAATATTTCATGCATGCCCAGCATTGTCTTAAACTGTGTCTCTTTTAGATTGCAATGGGTGGAGTTGCTTTTCGGGGAAAAATCTGGAAATAGCATCCAACTTGAAAGCTTAATGCTCTTGTGCATCTGACTGCAAGGCAGGCTTTCCTCCTACAGACCATTTTCTTGAGAATGTGGGAGGGATTGTTAAGATATTTGGGTTAATAGGGTAAATTGCAGGTTTTGTTCGGTGAGGCTCCTTACACAATCAAAATACGTATTAGAAGGAGAGATTGAAACTGACAAGTGAATCCTGTTTTTAGGAGCAGAATGCTGGGATGGTGGGGATACTTCTGGTGAAAAAAATGGGTAATGGGTAGCAGGTCAAGGGATCTGTAGTTAAGATTACTACTTTCTATTTCTATCTGTCAGGGACTTGTGCCTTGATCTAAAGTGAGTTTCATTATTTTTGTCTCCGGAATTGATGCTTCCTGCCTGCTTCAGAATGAGGTGTGAGCCTTAGTATGTGCCACATCTATAAAATATTTAGAGGAAAGAAGGCAAAGTTTTAGGAGGCAGACCAATATGTATCTAAGGCATTTTTCGTATGCTCATTGGTTTAGTGTGCTAGTTGAGATACCTAGATGGCTCTTCCTGATGATGCTGTAGTTCCTTACAAAAATAGGAGAGGAAGAAAAAGGCTCTTGTGCGCTCTTTTTCCTGTGCACGCTCTCTTTCTTGCTCTTTCTCTCTCGCCCTCTCACAATCAGAGAGAGATGGCACAGTTGCTACACATTTAAGGGGGTGGAAGTGGGGCAATGTAGAAAAGAGATTTAAGAAAATCCCTACTGGCAAAGAAATCAAGAGTTGGTAGCAAGCAGAAATGGGGAGAAGGCTGGAGGAGAGAAAATACTTTTTCCTTTGTACTAGTATTAAAACCAGTACTGAGGGAAAAGGAGAAAAAAAAAAAAAAGAAAGTACTCTTATCTAGGATATTCTTTATGCACTCAGTGTTCTATAGCTCTTTTTAATATGTAATAGACCAACCTTACTGTTAGGTAGGGCATGCTTTCCAAAGAAGAGACAGTAGGTGGTGCTGTTTGGTCTCCCCTGATGATTTATGCAACTAGCAGAATAAGGGTAAATTGACAAGAAGCCTTCTAGACTGTGCTGTGGCAGTGCCATTTTTGAATAATATAGCCTGTTGCAATTCTTAGCTAAGTGTATTGCCCCAGCAGGTTTTCTGTAAATGGCCAGGTAGAAAGATCCATTTTTGAGAATATGAGACCCAAAAGTGAAGCAGAATCTGGCAGTTGTCAGCCATTGAAGCCCAAGCCTTGTCCTGCCCTTTTCAGTTTCAGCTGCTTTGAAGGAAAAAAAGGGACTCTTAGGTACAAAGGATGTTCTTACAACCATCTCCCCCACCCCCTCATTTTTTTGCAAGGAGCAAACAGTCCTTATCCTGCTTTCCCTTGGGCATCTTGGCTGCTGTCATAGGCTGGACTGTGTCTGTGATTGCTTTTCCCCAGCTTCTGTTTTCATTTGCTGTTATGAAGAACTGTAGTGCCTGGCATTGTTGTTGCTCCTAATTACCAAAGCAGAGGAAACAAAGTCATAGATTCTTTAAGGTTTGCTTGCTACCATCAGAGTTCTCAATACCAGGAGTGAAAATGGCTGTTTAAAATTTTATCTTGTTGTTAGTTAATAAAAATCTTTATTGGTAGCAAAACCATTGTTTTTAATTACAAAAAATCCAGCTTATTCTTTTGGTTGTAGCAAAACAATCCTTTTACCCTGATACCTGCTGCGGAAATCTTAACCCAAAACAATAGAGAAAACTACAGAAATTCTTCTGAGCACAAAATGAAAGAACTTGTTACAGATCTATGGCCTAATCTGCACTTAGATTTTCTGTTGACACTGGATCCAGTCATTACAACTACCAGACAGAATTCCTGTTTCTATCCCAGAGTTCAATAATGCTTGAATCCCATGCAAATCATATTGGTGAAAATAATGATTTCTACCTATTTGTATTAATTTTAAGATTTTAAAATGAGTGGCAAACAGCTATGTTTTTCTCTGGAATTTTTGCCCCCTATACTGTGCTGCTTCCTGTTGTTACTTAAATGGAAATGATGACTGTATCTTTTTAGTCCATTAACATACCTGTAATTGTTTTGCAGCTTTTAAAATATGTTAGAATACAGTAAAAAATAGTCTGAGTTCTCTATATTCAAAGTAAGGGGAATAGTACCTTCCTGATTATCACTTTTAACACTGTAGACATTCTGTAATTTGAACTGAATTGTGTCTTTGATGTTGAGTCCATTGGTGCTGCTTCTGTGTAAAGGTGATTGGAGGTGAGGGGTTAGGAAGAGGGCTAATGCTGATATTCAAATCTTGATTCTGCTTTAGGCTATGTGCATTAATTTTGGGTATTCTTAACGTTACATTGATGCTCATTGTTCCACTGGTTTTGCATTAATATCTGTTAGGTAGTACTAAATATTTTTCACAAGTAGATGTTAAGCATTTGTCAGAGCAAATTACTGTCTTAGAAATTTCCCTGAAAGGATTTCATTTTAATGCTTTTAAAGCTCCCTCCCCCCGCCCCCAATTTTTCCTTCTTCTGGAGTGCTTGCTTAACATAAAGAATTTGGCACAAGCTGTCTTTCATAGGTGGTAAAAAGGGAGATATCATGTCTGTCATAGGTGTTTTAGCAATATGTAGGGAGGGGCTGAGTCCTCCTCAAGTGCAAGGAAGTATCTCCATTCTGAAGCTAAAATTGTGGCCTTCAGAGATGGACATTGAGGGTCTTTTCAGTCCATGGCATGCTTCCTAGTACTGTCCAGATACGAGGTGATACTGCCAGTACCAATAGTTTCATCCAGTATGAATTTCTTTTAGATGAAACTAGAATAAGGACCAAAAACTGATTTTGAAGTTCAATAGGTAGCCACTGAATGTAAATGGATTTATTCTTGTTACTTACGCTATAGATAGGCATAGACATTGTTTTCCTACTTGGAGGCTTTAAGTTATACCCTATTGGAAAGGGCAGACTTGTGCAAAGGGAGTAGGACTCAAGACAGTGAGGAATATGAGGATAGGAGCCTTTGCACTCTAACAGTTCTCCTCTTCTCCACCATCTAGAAGCTCCACTGAAAGGAAACCTTGAAGGTTGCAAGACAGGACCAAGATGTGCAGTTCAGTTGCTCCCAGGCTGTGGTTCTTAACAGACCGTCGCATCAGAGAAGATTACCCTCAGCAGGAGATCATGAGAGCGCTGAAGGCCAAGTGCTGTGAAGAGGAGCTAGATTTCCGGGCCTTGGTGATGGATGAAGTGGTGCTGACCATTGAGGATGGAAATCTTGGTGAGGATGAGCTAAGGCTGGGAATTAGCTGAAAGAGTTCTTGTAAAAAGATTATAAAATGGAGCCTCACTACTCTTTGATACTGAATTCATGTGTGCCAGACAGCCATATCTAATCTGAATCATGTAAACATACATGATAATATGTTCTTTAGCATTTATCATGATCTAAGGAGGGTTACTTTAGTTTGCTGATTTCAGGATAAGGACTACAGGATCTCTGAGTTAGGAATAAATTACTTAGTTTCATTTTTGCGTGGAAACTTTAAGTTTATGGATCATATTTAAGAGTTTCAGGGATTTTTTAAAATTCTGTTTGTGTTCTGACCCAAGATAGCAAACGCATTTGAAATAAACTAAAAGGAATTTTCAGTGGACAGTACAATTTGTCATGGAGCTAGAGGCAGTAATGTGACATAACTAAAGCATGCAGCTCTACATATGTTAAGTTATGTACATGCCAAAAAACAAAGGGATCTAAAATTTGTGTCATAATAATTTGAACTACTACTACAAATAACTGTGCTTTAAACAAAGTGGTAACACTTTGTTCTATTTTTCTGTTAGCTCTTTTTTTTTTTTTTTTGAAATAATTCTGCAAACACTATGCTTGTGATAGGAAGAATGTTAATACCACTGATGTTAAGTTGTGTTAACACTTGAAGTTGAAAAAAAATATAGTAAGATCTTTTTATTTGGCTTCCTTAAAGAAAGGAGACAGTTACAGTTGTGTTTTTTCCTGACTCTCTCTTCCATTTCTCTTCCCCATTATATCACTCAAAAAAAAAAAACAAAAAACACTGGATATCTTGGAAAGAATTAAGTTCCTGTAAGCTATGTTATAGAATAATTCTGTATGGGAAGAGAATATATAAAAGTACCCTCAGCTTTGAAGGAGGGGCTGCCACATGAGCTTATACCTTGTTCTGTACTGGGGAATCCATGCAGATGGAATATCTTAAAACTGACTTTATGGAGGAATTTTGGTCAACATTTGTACCTTGTTACAACATGAGTCAAGCATAAAAAGTGAATCCATAAAACCCAGGAATTTTGACTCTGATATCACTGAACTTTCATTTTATTTGTTCACATATTTTATCTTTAATTCTTTATCTTTAAAAACAGCAAGAATGATATGTGGGCCTCAGGCATCCAATTTCTGCTCTCTTCTGTTTAATGCTTCTCAGTGCTCTATCTGGTGCAAGATGAAAAGAAAAGATAAAATATTATTTGAGTCAGAAAATTAATTTTGAGAGATTTATAGTGCAAGAATGAGGAAAAATTAAGGAATTGACTAGGAAGAGAGCACAAAGGAAATAATTTTCATAAAAAGTGTTCATTCAAAACTATATAAGTAACTGATGTTTTCAAAAGCAGTGAGATAAAAATGTGCTGAAAGATTGTAGGTAGAAATTTCCTTATAACTAGTCTGGACTGGCTAATTGTGTGTTTTTGTTTAGTTTTTTTTAATTTTATTTTATTCCTTTCCTTACATTAAACAAAATTACTTCTCCTGGAAAGACATGAGGAATCTTCCCTCTAATCTTCTAGTTTTCTTTTTCCCTGTGTTTACCCCCATGTATTGGTATAGAGTTTTTGTTGAGGACACAGGCAAAATCTTTATTCATGCTTCTTTTTCCTCATTAATGTATTCACTTGGCCTAGAAAAAAAGTGTCCTGGAACAAAATTCAGGAGGTAATACATTCTGTACCTTTTCTGTTACCTGGTGTTGTGTGAGGGGTCCAGAGTGAGTAAAATTTTGTACAACAGAAGAGTTAATGAAGAGAATGTGTCTTTAGAGGATAGCAGCCTGCTTTTGCTTCCAGCTTTATTCTGTTACTTGTGTTGAAAGTGTAGTGATACAGGGCTTAAACTTTGAGGATAACATGGTATGGAAGGAAGTAATGGGTTACATTTTCACAAACTCAGACTTGTGGTTAGTCCTTTTTTTGTCTTTTCAAAGCCAGGCAATTTTGTAAGTAAATTGATAAGGTTAATTTTAGAGTCAAGTTGGAAATTAGAGGTTACCATTTAAAACTTTTAAAATGTATTTTTATATATGCAATATATTTAGTGATATTTTTCCGTTTGGTTTTACTGACTCTCAGAAACATGGCTAAAATAGGAGTTCAGAGATCAAAAATTCAGCAGAAGATATTAAAAAGGTTCAAGTGATTTGCCTTACAGGGGGAAAGTGGATAAGATGCTTTTTTACTTACAAAAAGTGAGAACAATGAGCCCTTGTCCCAATTACGTGGTGCATACAGTGTGTACTTCCTGTACTTGTACATACCTGCATACTTAGGCATACCTGATAGTAGAGCACATTGATGTAAATATCACTGAAGCCTTGAGCCAAAGAGAGGCATGGACAAATTTCTGTGACTGACTCTTGCAAAGTCTGCATATATCTATGAATTACATGATTTACTGTGTACCTGACATGGCCAAATGGAGAGGGAGTGAAAGGCTCATTTCAGTAAGGAGGCACTAGCAGTGGCTCCTTGGGGCCTTACTGCTGTATTGCAGGGTTGGATTGGAAGTGTGGCTGGATCCCCAGGCAAGCCAACAGTTCAAATCCCCAGGGATCCCTGCTGATCAATTTTCTTCCACAACTGAAAGTTTGGATTAGCCAGCATTCTTAGCACCTGCACAGCCCCAGTATTACTGGTCACATGATGATTTGTCAACAGTGCCACTCTGGTCTGCTGGAGAACTGTATTCAGCTCAAGAATCACAAGTTAGTTGCCTCAACAGAGCATGATTCCAGAAGGGATTGTAAATGCAAGCTAAGAAATGTAGAATTAAAAGTTCTCCTTTAAGTTTAGAAGGGAAGAAACATGCCTGATTTTCGACTTAAAACTTTTGAAAATAATCTTAGACTGTGGCTTATGTGCTATCTAAGTGCTGCTCCACGTCTGCTCACCCAGGCCATGCATTCTTGTCTCCTTCCCTGTACGTTGGTGGTACTGCTCTGTAGATCTCTAAGGCAAAAGCTGAGTTAAAATTAGCAGAAAATTGCTGCTGAAAAGAGTGAATATTTTTCTACTGCTTTGGTGGGCTGAACCTGCTGAAATGGTTACTGAATTAGACATGCGCAGCATTGGCATGCAGGAGCGGACAAGAACGCATGTCTGGAAGAATGTGTGTGGGGGGGGGCTATTGCAGCTGTTCATGTTTAAACTGGCTCAAACTATGGTACATCTGTAGCCTAAGAGTCTTACTTGAAGCTAAGTAGTCTAATAGTAATCTGCTGCTGAAAGGAGTAGCCCTGTTCCTCTCATCTCTTTCCAGCCTTGTTGCTTGCCGTGCATGAGGACTTCATGTCCCTTTGGGTTTGTGTTCATGTTATAGCTAACCTAATATATTAGAAAAAAGTTTGACCAAACTCTCTATTGGGCAGTGTCTGGCGTTTGTGTGGCTGTAGGGTGACTTGGGTTGGCTCATCTGATGGAAAACTAATCCCATCCAAATAATTAACAACTTTGTATTGGAATAGCCTGCTACATCAACTCATCTTGCGGTCATACAATTGCTAGCTGTAGGCCAAGAGGGCAGGGGAGAATGGGGCTGCTCTTTTTACTTTAAAATAGAGGAATTTCCTTATGAACAGGATACTTGGTAGCGTCAGCTTTGTGTGTGTGCGTGTGTATTTTCCTTTGAAGCATCTGCTATTTACTGCTGAAAGAAAAGCAGTAGATTGCTAAAGTAGATGGCTACTAGTCTGATCTAGTTTGACGATTTTAGATTCATTTAAAGTAAATAGTAAGTACGTTAACAAAACTGTGTAAGACGTTTTCAGACGCGCATCTAAAGTCTTAACAGTGAGAGTCTGCTTAAATAGGTAACTTTAAAAAAAAAATTGTCTGTGTTTGTGAACCCAGTGGTATAACAGCCTTGGGAAATGTCAGACAAGACAAATCAGAGCCTTGTGGGGGAGGATGAAGGTGAAGCCTGTGGAGAATGAGTATGCCATTAGAATAAGTGGGCAAGAGACCAAATATAATCCATTGCTTGTCTTCTCTTTCTGAGTAGAGTTGATTACTTTTTTTCTTCTCACCAATGAGTAGGGCTTAGCAATGACCTTCCCCCCAGAATATACACCTTACCTAACAGAGAAACAGAGTTTAAGAAGTGTTTACTGGTGAAGGATTCCTTTTGGAAATTTAAATTTTTCTTTCATTAAAATTCTTTACAAGAATTTCCTACTAGTAATGCTTATGGCTCAGTAAGATACTGAGTCATATGGGAGTGGGAATAAGAATGGACCAATGAGAATATTTCAAAGATTTCTGTAAAGTATAGTGAGCTAGGGAAAAAGAGTAAAGTTGAACTGTTTCAGCATTTTCTCTGGCACTGGTTAGTCCAGCGGTGCACCTTACTGTGAGAGCTTTTCCTGCAGCGTGCAGCAAATCGCTCTGGGAGAGATAGCACCTTGTCCAGCATTGCAGATTGGCTTGTTTCCTGCTATTAAGAAAAGCAGCAGCAGCCATTGCTTCCTCTGCAGACTGGGGAAGTTAGTTTGTAACTCTATAGTAAGAGCTGGAAAAGGAACTGCACTGTGTGCAAATGATTACAAAATGATAAGAAATGAAGTGAATTTGGTGTTGGTGGAAGTGCTGGGCTCTGAACCCCTCAAAACCACTGAACCTGTCCTGGGCGAAAGGAATTTCTACCAGTCAGCATGTTTTGGATTTGAGCTGATGGGATCATCTTGTAGAAAAGGATTGCAAAGTTGATCTCTGAAGTTTATACATTCTTTGGTTTCTTTGACACTACTAACAATAATTAGTGTTATTCCATGCCACTAGTCATTCTTTCATGTTAAGGAGCTAGACTGGAACTAGTCAACTTTGTGCACGTATGGACTCTGCCAGATATTGGAATAATAATAATAATAATTTGTCAAACTGAACTGAACCTGAGCCAATGTTTTGATTTAATTAAAAAGCAAACAAAAAAAACAAGTTTCAGATTCTGGAATAGCAGCTTGCTCT